ATTGAAGATGCTGAACCCACAGATATGGAGGGCTGACTGTATGTGGAAACAGTCTGATCTTATTCACATACGCAACTGGAAAAGGGAGAACCCTACATATACCCTGAAAGGGTCTCAAGAACCTGGAGTCACCCTGAGACCATATTTTAAATTGAGAAATGATGATATAGAGTATCATGGGAAAATAATTACCTTTTTAAAAAATGTTTTTATAGAAAAATTAATTCTGAATTAAAAGCAAATGATTTTAACAGAAGTTTGCTAGCCCAGACTTTTTGCAATCTGGCCTGTTCTGAGTATTTTTTGAGTTTAGATTATTGAACTTTAGATCATTTAACTCTCAAAGAACTAAAAAGGAATAGCATTTTATGTAATATGCCCTATACAACATGGTAATAGGTAAATTTGTTCAGAATGCGTATTTGTATTAGAAAATATTTGTTTAATATAAATATATAATGTGAAAAAAATTAAAGGATTCTACTATCTCATTTTACATTGATCAGAAATATCTGAAAAATGGCAGGGGTGGGAGTGGAAGAAACCTATATTACAAAAACTCAAATATATAGTGAGAAAAATAAATTCTAGTATAACAGTCTTAATTGAGGAACACTTATGTCCTTAAAATTTTCTTTAAAGCATTGTGCAATAGTGACAAATACATTTATTTGGTATTAGCAAGGAAATCCTTGTTGACCTGAAGAGAAGATGGTGATCCCAGCACTTTGGGAGGCCGGCATGGGTGGATCACGAGGTCAAGAGATAGAGACCATCCTGGCCAACATGGTGAAACCCCGTCTCTATTAAAAATACAAAAATTTCCTGGGCGTGGTGGTGCATGACTGTAGTCCCAACTACTCAGGAGGCTGAGGCAGGAGAATCGCTTGAACTTGGGAGGCGGAGGTTGCAGTGAGCCGAGATCACGCCATTGTACTCCAGCCTGGCAATAGATCGAGAATCCATCTTAAAAAAAAAAAAAAAAAAAAAAAAGAAAGAAAGAAAGGAAAGAAAGAAAGAAGGAAAAAAAAAGAAAGAAAAAAAAAAAATCTGTATCCGTATGTTGTAATAGCATCTGCAGAAACTGAAATAGAAGATGACAATGCCATCTGACTGTTCTAGTAACGCCTCTCTTTTTCAAATATCTTTCATTTGTCATTTAGTATAAGTGTTTGTCTCTTGCTAGATAATTTTTACAAAACGTATTTTTTTCACTAAATGAAAAAACTTTTAGAGTCTTGTGCTGCCATTCTACTATCTCCTGGACCATGCTGTCTATACCCCATGACTAGGCTGCCTATACCCACTGACTGGCTATCAGCAACCCACATCTTACACTACTTCCATGTACCTGGTGCACATTCTAGCAAAACATTCTCCATTTTGTATTAGCAACAGTGTGATTTTTTTAAAGGACTGGTAATGTCAAAAGTCTTTTAGAATAAGCCCACTATTTGAATATTGGCAGCAGTTGACTCAGAAAAGCTGTCTTCCACTGAAAAATGGAACTTTTAAAACAAAATTCATTTGTAACTTGCATTCTTCCATCTTTCACTATCTTCTGTTAACATTGTGTAGATCAGTTGCATCTCCCAAATTAGATTGTAATCTTACTTTAGGAAGGACCATATTTCATTTGTTTTTTCCTGTGACCCAATTATTTAACATGGGGCTGAGTGCATAAAACCTATTTTAGACCTACCCTTACTGTGTACTGTACATTCATTACATAGAAACTAGATAAATTACTCATTCTAAAATTTCCAGTTAAATAAAACACACTTTTTGGTTTTTAAATTTTATCTATTTAATATTCTCTGATTTAGAAGTTTTGACAATATAGTGGAAGTTATGATTCTCTTCTGCCTCACAAAGCACATAGATGTTAGTAAATCATTTATCTCAGTTTCTATTCCAACCATTCATATTGGCTAGAGCCATCATTTTCTTAGACTTCTTTACTTTCCTTCAAATTATATCACCAGTGACATCAAAACAATTGACAAGATTTCTGCCCAGAAGTAGAGAAAACAGCAGAATTGAGGTACAAAACTAGGCAGCCTGCTAGGTTTTTCACCAGTTAAGTGATTGCTCCTACATCAGCTTTCAGTATGGATTCAAAAGAGTTTCTAGGCAAAATTCTAAATTGCTATTTGGTAGGGCCCATTTGGGTTACTGGTAGGTGGTCAAAACTTTGAATATGAAATAAACTGATGGCAAGAGTTCTTATGAATGAATAATTATGTTATTGATTGATTAGTCTGGGACATGGAAGAAACTGAGAGAGTAATACTTCAGGATCTTAGGTAAATGTAAAATGAAGGGAGCAACTACTACAAGCAAGCAATAAGGGAGTCCTCAGTGTCTGACAACATTCATTCTTTGAGGGAACCAAGCCTCCCATCTCCCTCAACCATGGTCAAAGGAGGGCACTTATAACCCATTCTTGGCCTTGTCATGGTTACATGTCTCCTACATCCAGGAATAGGCATATAAATCAAGCAAGGCTAATGAGAATACCATTTGAGATTAGATAGATGTTGAGAGATGGCATCTCTCTTATCTTAGAAATACAGACTTGGAGCTTCTGTGGCCATGTTTCATGCCATTTGGAAAGGAGAGATATAGACAGACACAAACATGCACAGGGGAGAGAGAGGTTATTTGAGTCAGAACCTCTTAATTTGGTTATGTCTGCAGATAGATCTACTCTGACATCCCAGTTACATGTGCCAATAAATTACCATTTGGGACTTATTATGTGAGTTTGAGCTTTGTGTTTGTTACTTGCAACTGAAAGAGCTTTGGTCAATACATAGTCTGAATCATGCAGAGTAGCTATGTTTAGTGTCCGTGGAAGACTGCTGAAACGGCCTCCAAAGTCCTTGGGTTAGAGAGCACCGAATGTATCAAGATGTGTGTCTTCCTTTACTCCTTTGCTTCTAAAGCGCCAGAACCTATCAATTTGATGTACAGTCACTTGAGTTAGGTTATTTCTTACCAACTTGCTTTTCTCTATTCACAGTGAGTCTTCCCTCTTATGTAATGGCCTCATATTAACTGTCAGATATTAAAATGTACAGATCATATATTCATTCCCTCCTCTAAGAATTTATAGCTGATGTTGCATTTTTATGTGAGATGTTTATAAATATTTTAAGAAGTATGCTGGGTTGCACAGACTGGCATCCAAACAACAAAAGTAAAATACATTTTTGTTTTGTAGTATTGCAAATTGATTTTAATAGCTTGACTTTCTTTAGCAAGAATATATTAAAACATTCTGAGCCTCTTGATTGCCTGTATGAATAACTGAAACTTTTATTGCAGTTTAAGAGGCCTTACCATGACTATATGGCTATTTAATGTTTTATTGTATATATGGGTGAAATAAACTCTTGAGGAATCTCTCACTGGGCTGGGAACTCCTTAAGATCTCCTTGTAAACATTTTTTCATCTCATAAAAACTGAAGGCATTTATAAATGGTGACTGCTTTCTTTAAATGAGGTACTCTAGTGTCTGGCAAAATTGTATTTGCCAGAAAAAAGAAATGTGAAATATATGTATATGTTGCAACCAAGAAAAAGAACATAAAATGTTTGAAAAATTCTTTTGAGTATTCATTCCTTTTTTATTTTTAAAGATTGCATGCTTGTTGGTTACTGTTTTCATTAAAGAATGAATATTAAATAACTGGATGTTGTTCATCATCATCTTGAAAGTTGTGATTGGTTATCACCATTGACATGCACTTGGATTTCTCCTGAGGCCAACCTTTTCTTCCTCAGGAGAGGTAACTGAAAGGGGAGAACCCATTTCCCATTTGAAGCAGTCTCTTGGATATGCCTACAGAGTTTGGCTGTGAATTGCACATAAACTTCTTCATTTCTAAAACCATGTAAACTCTTGCTACTTCAAAGGTTCAGGACAGCTCAAATGGCAGAAACCATAGTAAGAGTTCAGGTATTATAGCTATCAATTGTTTTGATAAATTTTGTTGGAGAGGAAGACATTAAAACCTTTATGTCTACTATATAACTTTTAGAGCCCTGAAATGCCAGCTTATTGTGATTAAAGAAGTCAGTCATTGGGCTAGAGAGAATATCCCTAATTTTGGAATATCCTGAACTAAACTGCCATTGTCCCAAACGTAGAGACCAAGTGGTGAACTAATTAGGATTATTTCATGGCAAGCAACAAAAACTAACTCTGGATAACTTAAGCAGAAAAAGGAAATGTAGTGGCTCATATAATTAGAAGTTCAAAGGGCAAACCAGCATAACTGAATCTAGGGGGTTAAATTATATCAACAGTCCTCTTGCTTCGTAACTCAGCAATGTTTTTTTTCCCTCTGTTGGCCTCATTTTAATAAAGTAGTCTCCATATGGTATCAAAACTGTTCACTATTAGAGGCAGACTGTATCCTCTTTTGCTCTCATAATTTCGGAGAAAGATGGAATACCTGTTTCTTTATTTGTTTGAGCAAAATTTTTGGAGAGGCTTCTGACTGGGATGACTTGGGTCAGGTGAATATTCCTGACCCTATCACAATGGCCAGGGAACAGGATACTCTCGTTGGGTAGGTTGGGTTTTGTGCTACATCTGTGTGAGAAGGACAAGTGAAGTGATTGACAGCTCCATTGGGGTTTAGACAGACTTCCATGTAAGAAAGGAAGACAAAGAAGAAGGATAGGTTGAGATGAACTTGGGCGTTAGTTGTGACAGTGATGACTTTTGATAGGAAAGTGGGGAAGATGCCGTGTAAGGAGTCTGACAAGTTGTGATCCGTACTAGTTCTTGGCTCTGTCTTATGTTGGAAGCAGAGAGAAAGGATGTGCAGCTGAAAAAGAAAGAGAGGAAGGAGACACACACACAAAAGCTAAGGAATTAGGCTCTGCCAATTTCCTGATTCACCCAGGTAGTTATTGCTGTTTCTATTTCTCTGCTACAATGAAGGGGGAGTTTCTTTCAGTTTATCTCTTTTATTTTGCCTTTTAGGTGGACAAAAAAATCGTAAGAACTGAGATAGGAGTTCTTCTTCGCCTCTCACATCCAAACATTGTAAGTGGTTTTTAACCTACTATTTGAAATGATTTCCAGAGCTAGAGAAAGGGACCTTTGTCCTTCACTGTCAATGCTGATAATGGAAAGGGGATTCTCCCACCACTGATAGCTACCATGTACTAGCTCTTGTCCTCATCTTATCACATTTTCAATCCTTTGGCTGAATAAGTCTTACAAGTAATACCTCTGAAAAAGTTCCAAAATAGATTAGCAATATACACCATCTTTATTTTCATGCATAAAAGGATAAAAATCAAAGAGTTTTGTTTTGCTCTAAAAACACTGGCTTTTTCCTTCTTTTGTGTGCCTATCTTATTAATTTTCCATTACTGAAAAAGCCTGTGAAGAAAATACATTGCTCTCCAAAGTCATTTCAGTCTGCTTTGAGAGAGGATTGCTTCAAGAACAATGTGAAGATGCAAATAAATGATGTGCTTGAATGCAGAAAATAAAATGTCCTCAGAAGTTCTGCTTCAGGCTTTGTCCAGACAGCCTCTGAGGCAAAGATCTAGTAAAAAGCTTTCTTGAACTGATGAAGTGAAAAAGAACAAAATCATTTTCCAGGTCGTAAGTTGTTTTTATGAATTAAGCCATCTACTTCAAAAAAGCATTTTTGCCCATTTCTCTGAGGAAGTTGTGACGTCCAAGGGGATGGCCTGCAATGCTTAGGTTCAAGGCAAAGTGCTTAAAATTTAATGTATGAGTTAGGGAAGCATTCAGCTATAAGTAGCAGAAAACTTGAATAGGATGATTTAAACAAATATTTTCCATATGTTGCAAGCAACAAAAATCAGGCAGTTTTCTGGCTCAGCTCCTCAGTGCTGCCATCCAGATACCATCCTTGGTTCTGCCATCCTCAGTGCGTTGACTTTCATCCTCACGCTTTTCCCTCCTGGGCCTAACATGGCTGTTCCACAATTTTTGCAAGTCATCACGTCTATATTCAAAATAGGAAAAAGATGGAAGGATCTCAGCTGCCAATTCTCATGAGAAGAGTAAAAACTTTCTCAGAAACTGTGGCAGCAAAAGTCTCTTCAAATTTTGTTGGCTGGAGCTAGTCACAAGATTACCCTTAACTGCATGGAGGCTGTGAAATTAGTGGCTGAGACCATTCATAATCTACAGTGTGGGACTAGACACCATCTCTGAACAAATCAGAGTTCTCTTCATATTAAAGTAGGGAGAAAAGGGTTTTGGGTAAGCAGTTAATGAAATCTCCCATACTCCATCACCACTTTTACATTATCCATCTCTTCTCTCCAAAGATAAGTCAATGTAGAATTTTCCTCAAGTGTAGGATAGTCCTGGCTACTAGATTCTCGTATATATGGAGAAAAATATCTAAAACTGGATCATCTGAATGTGATGAAAACGGTGGTATGTTCAATCACCTCACTGTCACCACTACTTTTCTGAGGATTCCTTCACCCACTGACACCTTTTTAGATATTGATTGATATATCCTTTACATATAGGCAGATTTTAAGCTGGTCCTACCCTGCCTCAGACCCCTAGTTTTAAGTTCCTAACTCCCAGAAGAAATAGGCATTTTGTACTTCCAGCCACCATGATGCCTCAAATGGTTTAGGAAGTTGTGTTGTTTTTGTTTTTGATTTTTGAACAATTCAGAAATTGGGATGTTTCAGAAAAGTTAGAAAGTGTTTCCAAGGCAGATATTTTTCAACTGCCAAAAGGAAAAATGTAAGCGTTTTATAGGAACTTTGAAAAAAATGAGGTAACTGATGAAATCAATAACGCAGAAAGAGCGTGAGAAATAGCTAGCTGATACGAGGAAACTTTATTAACAGTGATCCAACGTATTACTACTGCAGAATGTTGTTTTAGCCATAGTGTTAGCTATTTCCAAGAAAGATGGAATAAGAAATTTGTGATATTCTTTTTTTATATCTTTCCGTAGATAAAACTTAAAGAGATATTTGAAACCCCTACAGAAATCAGTCTGGTCCTAGAACTCGTCACAGGAGGAGAACTGTTTGATAGGTGAGTTGGTTCTGGAAATATAACCAAGAAAGGTTTGCTTTTGGCCACCAAAAAGTAATCTAAAGGACATTTCTCCTGAAACTTTTTATAATGACAGATTATACTTGTTGATAAATTCTACTAAAAAAAGTCTTAAGAAGAACGTTGAAGGAAGGTGGGTAGTGGTAAGATGCAGGTACATGAAAACTTGAGATATTTAGTGAGTAAAAAGGGGAACACTATAATATCTACTTATCTTTGCAAAGAGTTATCTCCTCAATAGAAAGATAGAATGTCTAAAATCAAATTTAAACTAAATAGTAAGATTTATGAGACTATCTTAAGAAAATATTTGATGAAAATTATAGAAAATTAAACATGTACTCTAAGTGTCCTCTGGTTATGATACAAAAGCTCATAAAACTCAATAATCTTCAAATGATTATTTTTAAGCTTACTTTCTTTAGAAGTCTGTGTAAAGAGTTCCACGTTGCAAAGTAAACATGCTCTGTTATAGCCAATTATTGCCAACTTTGGTTTCCTGTTCATATGTTCATCTTTCAAAGCAGAGGAGTGAGAATGGAGGGGGATGGGAGTGGGGATGGGAGTGTGCTGGAAATCTGGCAGAGCGTAATATATGCAAACTATTTGTACAAGACACACAAACTTTATGTTTCCATAGTTGTTGCAGCTTACCCACCCTCTTAGGAGAATTCTGTATCTGTCCTGATGGGCTCTTGAGAGCCTTTTGCTGTGTTCATCAGGTAATCAAAAAAGAATGGAATTTAAAGAAGACAAAGAGACTAAGTAGGCATATTTAGAAATGGTATGAAGCCATGCGTGAATGGAAAAGTTTTGTTTAAAAAATGGGGCAAGAGACAGGTAGAATGTAGTTTAGGGGGAAGACAGAAGAGACCGAGGGAACCACTGATGTAGCCTGAGTGCCTGGATCACAGCAAGTGCTCCATAAATATTTGCTGAATGAATGAATGAACAACTGCTGCAATGAATGGGCTCTGAGGAGAAACATATCTAAAGGGGATTACTTTTGAATGTGTTGGGAGAGGAACACTCCTTCACTTTTGCCAGGGTCTGAATGTGTGCCCCCCAAATTCATTTGCCAAAAGCCTGATCCCTAAGATAATGGTACCAGGAGATGGGATCTTTGGGAGGTTATTAGGTCATAAAGGTGGAGCCCTCCAGAATGAGATCAGTGCCCTTATAAAAGAGGCCCTAGAGAGCTGCCATCCCCCTTTTACTATGTAAGGACACAGCAAGAAGGTGCCCTATGAGGAAGCAGACCCTCACCAGACACAAAATCTCCTGGTGGTTTGATCTTGGACTATCCAGGCTCCAGACCTGTGAGAAATAAATGTTTGATATGTATAAGACACACAGGTTATATTATTTTTAAATAGCAGCTCAAATGGACTAAGACACCTTCCTTCCCACACCTACTCCACCCAGTTAGATTTGCTGCCTCTTCAAGAGCTTTCAAAAGTACTCATATTGTTTTTCAAAGGTTCTGTCTCTTTTCAACATTACCCAGTGAAAATTTGGATCTTCAGGTGAGAAGGAGCAAAAGGCCTAGCTTCATTGCAACTATATATGTATGTGTAACAGATATACATCTGAATTTTGTTCATATATATGTTGAAACTTCCTTAGAGCAGGTTCAACATTGTAACATTTTGACTGTTTTCACATTTTAAGAATAATAAGTCAGCTGAAGGAAGTGAGCATCAGTAGCCTAAAGTCATACAGTTCTAGCGGCAGTTGTTTTTTTGAAAGACTCACAGTTGTGAATCCTGACTCTACAACTGAAAGATAACTAACTAACCTAGAATAATTTACTTAACTTCTCTGAACCTCAGAACAAATTTGGATTGGCTTTATGTTGCTAATAAAGCTTAGATGGCTCTGATCCACTATGAAGATATTCTTGTTCACATATTTCCATGTCCTCAAGCAAGACTCTCCTGGACTAGCTAATTTGGGTTTTGCCACAATATGCCTATAATGGCTCCTTTTTCAATAGCTCTTTAGCTGACTCTTTTTCATGGATGTATTCCTTCTTTAGGTACATTAATAGAGTCAGTTTATAGTCAGATCCTGCTGGCTTTGGAGCTATGAGCTCTCTCTAAGGAGACTTTCCTTATTTCTCTGCTAATTATGGTCTATGAGAGAACTCTCTTGTTTTTAAATTATAAATAATTGCAGGGCAGGAATGCCACACTGAAGCAGTAATCTACTAATAGTATTTGCTATTTACTTACCTACCTCTATTGGTTTGAGTTAATTGGGAATCAAGGGTTTCTCCTTCTCTTCTTCCCAACCTTTCTTCCATGAAAGAATTTGGGATGAAATTTAATTCAGCTATAGCTAAAAATGAAACAACTAAATGCTATTGATGAATTTCATTTGGAGAGATAAATGGATGAAATATTCATATTTAACAGAAAACATCTGAAGAATGGCAGCCAGCCAGGAAAGCACTCAACTCTTAGTGGTTTTAAAAGATAGACTCTTTTCCTTTGCGTGGTGTGGTCCACAACATTGACCTAGCTGATACGAACTTGGGTCTCTCCATTAAGTTACTTAATTCTGCAGTTATCTTTAAATTTTATCAAGCTGAAAAAACATTCTGCATTATTATCCAATGTATTGATTTCTTTCTTGAGAGTTAAAAAGTAATATGGACTGTATTTTGTACTTAGGTCAAAACAAATTTATTTAATTGTGATGATAAGAATTCATTCCTGGTCTAATGATGACTCTAATAGTATGTAATGAATGAACTAGGGGAGTAATTGCTGAAGAGATAATCATATGAGTCAATTATACTCAAAAAGGTTGTATTTAATTAGCAAAAAATCTATTCTATAATACTTATAAAAATTAAACATAGTCAAAATCCAAGTAGAATCTGCTATTTTATGTAGAATTTAAATAGTAAATTACATAGGACAATTTATTAGAAATTTTGGAATGAAATTCATGATTTGTTGCGCCCAAGAAAAATCTAAAACATAAATAAATTTGCACAATTATGACATCATGAGAAGAGGAAAGCTCCCATGAAGTTTCTGTTTAATCGTTCTCAGTTTGGTCTCAACTCTTAAAATCTCAACATCATTTTCATTGAATTATTGAAATGGACAATGAAATTATTGAAATTTCATTGAGTTTTGCTTTAAGAGCAAATTTCAAAGTTTTTTTCCTCAAAAATGATTGTATTTTAAGACAACAAATTTAGCAATATCCTTACAGTCTTCTAATTAAATCCAAAGTATTTTTTCTTGATTTTTGTCAGATAACTCCAGTATCTAAGTATAGTTTTGAATTTTTTAAAATTGTCATGGGTTGTTTTCTGTTTTCTTTTTCTCTTTTGTTTCATCAATTTTTCCTAAAGAATTTTATTTTTATTTAACTTTTAAGTTCAGGGGTACATTTACAGGTTTGTTACATAGGTAAATGTGTGTCATGGGAATTTGTTGTACAGATTGTTTCATCACCCAAGTATTAAACCTAGTATCCACTAATCCATTAGTTATTGTTTCCTGATCCCCTCCATCCTCCCAATTTCCACCCTTCAAAAGGCCCCAGTGTGTGTTTCCCTTCTGTGTGTCCATGTGTTCTCATCATTTAGTTCCCACTTGTAAGAGAGAACATGCGGTATTTGGTTTTCTGTTCTTGTATTAGTTTCCTAAGGATAATGACCTCCAGTTCCTTCCCCATCCCTGCAAAGGACATGATCCATTTCTTGTAGTTTTTTGCTTGCCTGATTAGGCTTGTTCCAATGTCAAACATTATATATAAAAGGTTTTAGAATTTGAGGCCTGGAATGCTGTTACCTTCCAAAAAAGCAGATTTTATTTTGTTGTGGCAGGCATTTAAGGTTAAGAGACAGATCATTTTACTATAATTGGATATTAGGCTAATTCAAAGCTGGGCTTCCTAATGGCTGGTGTATTTCTTGTCAAGTCTTATTCACAAGGCTTTGCTCTTTGAAGGTTTCAGCTTTAAGCCAGGGCATTATACCAGGGCTCTTCTTACTTGGCAGACCCTGAATGCCAACTTCTGTACCCTTAGCTCTGCGTAATGGCCAGAAAGTTTATTCAGCTTCTCAGCCTGTCAGCTGCTGTGTTGGAATAGGTGAATGCCTTTAGAAGGAAAGCAGAGGCATCAGATGGCAGCTTTGCTTTGCTGGGTTTTTCTTCTCTTCTGCTTCTTGGTTCCTAAATCCTTCTCTTCCTTAGTGTATTAGTCAGGAATCTGTATAGGGACAGAACTAATAAGATACATGTATATATGTAGGGGAGTTTATTAGGAGAATTGACTCCCACAATCACAAGGTGAAGTTCCACAATAGGCCATCTGCAAGCTGAGGAGCCAGGAAGCCAGTCTGAGTCCTCAGACCTCAAAAGTAGGGAAGCCGATAGTGCAGCCTTCAGTGTGTGTCCAAAGACCCAAGAGCCCCTGGCAAATCACTAGTGTAAGTCCAAGAGTCCAAAAGCTGAAGAACTTGGAGTCTGATGTTCAAGGACAGGAAGCATCTAGCACAGGAGAAAGATGGAGACCAGAAGACTTAGCCAGTCTAGTCTTTCCATGTTCTTCTGCCTGCTTTTATCCTAGCCATGCTAGCAGCTGATTGAGAATGGGTCTGCGTCTCCCAGTTCACTGTTAATCTCCTTTGGCAACACCTTCACAGACACACCCAGGAATAATACTTTCCATCATTCAGTCCAACCAAGTTGACACTCAATATTAACCATCACACTTGATAACTCTCTGATTTGTTCAAATATATATTTTTAAAAGTTATTTTATTTAGTTTGTTTTTAATTTTCTTGCCTGGAGCCTTGTCTGACCTACCATTGCTGACAGTAAAAATTCACATATGGTTTTAAATTTTGTTTACAGACACTAATGTATTTTCCTCATTTAAAAAGTCAGCTTATTTGGGCAAGCAGGATGAAAAGCAATATCCTCACTATGCAAATACGAAAACAGAATTAGTA